ATTAAGGATGTGACTTATCAAAACCAAAAACAAACAAACAAACAAAATCAGCAGGCATATCAAAAACTCACTTCAACTTTGTGTTGCACCTAGACGAGGCTATTTAGATCCTGATGGTATTGGTATGGTATCCTTGATGGGAATGGGAATTGTTCAGCCTTTATGTCTGGACCCACAGGAAGTATACGTTGCACCTCTCAGGGTCCAAACCAAACCAAACCAAACAGTATCCTGTTCACTGCTTTTCAAAAATGGACAAGTTGAAGTGACTTAAACAAATGAGCAAGCAGCAGAGTCGGCATCTAAAATCCACACCAAAAGATGGACAGATGCATGCACGCACATGCACAGACATGTATACACACTATGTGCACGGACCGTACAGTTATTTGCACATACAAAGCCTATACAAAGATGGACAACTTCGGTCCATTCTCACTAACAGCCAAGAGGCCTGTACGCAAGGACCAAGAGGACCAAATCAGTCATCCCTACACCTATGAACAGTAGAGGGGCATGGCTCATGGAGATTTGGATGTATAGCTCCCATTTAAGTGTTACATGCCTGACGGGTTCTTCATTTGTGCCCCGAATACCTCTTTTCCCCACCGGCTAGTATGCCCTATTTCTTTGTGAATAAATGCACCTCCTTTTAAAGGCTCCTTGTAAACCTCAAGTGTGTTCAAACCAAAAAAGTTGATCACGGGGACAGATCTGGAGATCCATCATCCATTTCCTTTGCGACCTGAAGAAAGTCACTTACTCTCTCAGGGGCCTATCATCAGTTGGGGTGAGTTGCCATAGCACCATCGATCCAACGAGGATCCGCTCCTGAATTCCCATTAGGTAAATGAAGACGGTTTCACCTTCCCTCTTTCTTCTAGAGATGTAAGTCTTTCATTGTGTATCTGTGCACTAACCCAGGCAAGAAGGCCCAATTTTGGTTCAACCATGCTCAAGCTCAGTAGCAGCACCCTGACCCATCCCCCCTGGACAAACAAGGTCAGTACAACAGATTTCTTCTCTCTTTTTTGTTTTTTTTATTTATTTAGAAATAATAAAATAAGACATAATATATAAAAAAATCTGTACAATCCACAATTTGTGCAGTACATTAGGAAGACTTTGATACAAAAAGGCTGCAAACAGGAAAATAGTAATGGACAATTGTCAAATGCCTCGATTGTTCACCTGACAATAGCTGCAGGCCAGAAGTCATTAAAAAAGAAGTTTCTGATTGGCTGTGAGATGGCAACTATGCAGCACCTTTCTACCTCAAAATAGTCGAGAGCAGCCATAGTTTAAAGACATTACAGTACTTCTCAGTTTTACCGTGTAATCCAATATGAAAAAGAAGACCGAAGAGAACAAACAAAACATCTGGACCCTTTGTCTTTGCCGAGAAAAAGCAAGTGCTCTATTAGCAAACACAGAAGTGTACCCTGACTGGGAGAAAGTATCATTAAATAGAGCAATAATATGTAGTGATTTTCTACCCTTGCTACTTAACCAAAAGACAACTTGCACCTAGAGATCAGAGGGAAGGAAATACTCCGCATCTGCCTCTGAAATGCTTTTGTCACTGTATGCAGGATTATGTCTTCAGACAATAAATGTGTCTCATTCAAGTATTTTCAGGGAAGGGCAGAAATTGTGAGATTTTTTTTTTTCCCCCCCCCCCGACTCCCCAAGCAAAATACAGTCTAAACCTTCTGTGCCAGCCACAAGAGACGCTGAGCCAGGTTCATCCTTGGTGTCATGCCCTCGATGAAGGGGCCAAACCAGAACCCATTAAAATCGGAGGAAAAAGAAATCCCATCCGTTTTAAAGGGCTTTTGGAACAGGCTCTGCAGGACGGCTTCAGGAACAAGAATCATTGACTGAATGCTGTCAGTCGCTGTGTTCCTCCAAAATAAAAGGGATCAACTAAACCGCTTTGCACCTGCGTAGGAGTGCTACGACAGCCGGACCTGGCCTGGGCTTACCAAAGCCTGTTCCAAAAACGTGGAAATCTAAACCGTTGGAGAGAGACGAACCAGGGGAAGGGTACCATGAAATAAACATTGCAGCTCTCTTTCTAGCAGCTTTCACGAGCCAGAGGCCGAGTGCAAATCTGCAATGTGAGATTCAGTCGGTAAAGACAAAGGGTTATTTCAAAACGAAACAAAACAAAACAAAGAAATCCAGCAGAGAGTGCAATGAATGACCTAAGTATCCACTCTCAACACGACTAGCAATCTGAAAGCTGGTAACTTTAAAAAAAGAAAATGCCAGTAACTAGAACATGTTTTCAAATTAAAAGTCCATGCTTAAAATAAATAACAAAAGTTCATAGCATTAAGGATCCTATAAGGCTTGCAAATATTTGCTAAAATTTGTGCTAACCGGTAGCATCTAGGTACTAGCTAGCCGAGACTGATGAACTGAATTTATACTTTCTATGGCCTTTTCTGTTTTTCTTCTTCTTCTCCACCTTTACAGATTTTTTTTTATTTACATTTGGCTTTAAATATGAAAATACTCAATAAACTTTATAAAATTGTACATTTTAAAAATATTTCTGAAAAAACTGACTTGGAAAAAGAAATCTGTGCATCAGAAAACTTTAGGTTTTTCTTTTTCTTTTTTTCCTTAAAGAAACAAACCAAAGCTTTTATTTCCCCATTCTTCATTTCCCATCCCTTTCTCTTCTAACTCAAGTCACTCCAGTGGGGGCACTTCGGAGTAACCTCACTGGGGGTGGGGGAAAGTCTCCATTTCATCCTTCCTTTCCCCACCCGTCCCCACGGCATCTTTTTCTTTTCTTGTCTAACATTTCACTGAATACTCTTTGGTTTAGTTGGTTTCCTATGCAAAAACATCACTGTTAGCAGCACTAATAGCATTCAATTGCCTTCACTGTCTATGACCCAGAAAACTGTGTCCCAGTTGTCTTGTGTATGAAGCTCTTCCTCCCTCTCACCCATGCTCCTCTCTCCAAAAAAAATCTGCCCTCTCTCCTATCCCAAGCTACGTTTACAAGGTTAACACAGTTTTCAAACCCATCTACTCAGGTTACTGTAGATACCATCTTATCAGAAACCACCATTTCATTGCAGGCATTTCCTTCAGGCAAGGCTGTAGGGGGCCAGAGGCCTTCACAGATGTCCATTTGTAGAAGACATTAGACTTAGAACAAGCTGTTTTTTAATGGCATACAGTGATCCAATACTGTAAAAGAGTTGACTCGGATTTCTGATCCTGCCCCCCCTCTCCCAACCTGTTCCTACAGGGAGATGCACAAGCGAAAAACCTTGAAGCGCAGCTAAGTTACGCGCTTGATCTTAGAGGCACCGAGAATTTTAAAGTTTTTTTTTTTGGTGGGGGAGCCAAAATACCATTGGAGTCGTGGCTTTCACGTAAGGTCACAAAAGGCTTGGTGACATATGACATCCACTGTTAATTCAGCTGATGTTGATGGAGGGAGAGGGGGGTGGTGGAAAGGAGATAAGAGAGGGAAACTCTTTTACAGTATTATCCTCTTCAAATAATCCCTTTTCATACAATCCAGAAAACACTTTGCCTGACACCCTTGCCCTGCCAAAGAGCAGCATTTCCACTCGGATCCCTCTGCCGTTTCACACTGATTTACCACCAGTTTTTGTTTTTTTTTCCCCCTCCTTCCCCACATGTCACTCGTTTCACCTGCGCCTAAATGTCTATTCCAACCCAGTTACCCTCCAACGCAGACCGGTGCCTTTGCACGTCTCTGGTGGAGTTTAACTAGTCAACATAACGACAGTTGATTTTTATTCGGTCGCAGCCTCCAGCACGTCTGATGGCTGAGTTTTCAGATTGCTGGGTCAGCTTCAAGAGGGCTCGAAGTTCGAGAAGCAGGTCTGGAATGTGTGCAGAGTAACACTTGACCTTCTGCTAGAGTCCTGCTAGTGTTTCGCTAACAGGAAAGAACAGATGTTTGCTTCCCTGACCCCCCTGCGCAGCCCCTCGTTTCTTCTTATAGAAGAAAAGGAGAGGGGCCGATTTTCTGCACGGGGCGGGAAGAGGTGGGGGGGGGAAATATGGTCTTGCTTTACCTAGATCCAAGTTTTAAGCTTTGCTTTCTGAATAAGGTGCAAAATAAGGGCCTTTACAAATGTCGGAGGTTCAGAATTTGTGGTTTTGTTTAAAGCAGCCCGTTTCTTTTCCATAAGCTCCACTGTGCAAAAATATGCATTTTCTTTGGTATCCACTTAGGTAGTTTTAACTTAAAATTTGAGATAGAGAATTAAATTCTCCCCCTCCCTCTCCCACCCCACCCCCCAAAAAATAAAAAAAAACTGTTGCTGGAGGCTATCAATTGGCCTTATGTTACATAATGCCCCTTATGTAACTGGAAAAAAAAAAAGAAAGAGAAATTGATTCTAGCTATCAAACTACTGGCCTCAAAAGAAATTCAGACTATCTGGCAGCATTGGCCTTTCTGAAGTGTGATCACGAGCTTTTTTTCAACCCACAAAGTTGAACACTGACTGTATTTTAAATTACACAAGAGAAAAAAACAAAACAAAACTACACTGCAACAAAATAACAATTTGTGTTCATGTAGTTAGCAGCAGCTTTAAAAAAAAAACAACAACAACAATAATAATATTAATAATAATAATAAGGCAGATTCTTGCCTTTGTTATGCCATTAAAAACATTCTTGTTCCCTAGAGAGAAGCATTCTGGAAAAAGTTGAAAAAAATATATATATAACCCAACCAAAGCTTGCCTGCAAGTTCAAGTTTTGTAAAAAAATATATACATAATTTATTCTACAACATATGTGCCTTCTGGTCATGCTTAGACATGTTTAGTGCTTTGTGTTTAGAGTTCACTTTCTGTTGTCCCTTCTCTGAAGGCAGCCTTAAAACCAGCCTCGGTTTCTCAGGGCTGCTTGCTTTCATGCCACTCTTCAACAGTACCATCATCTGAAAACTGTTCTGGGCCGACTGCTCGGGTCAACTTATCTTTGACCGATAGATTTTTCTTTTAAACCAAAACATAACAGAGAAAAAGTCAATCAGTCATATTTCAGATTCCCGCCTTAACGGCCTAGGTTCTAGCGGCACCCCAACCGGGTTGTGATGGTCCAAGTCAGGATGCGTGTCCGTGCTCATGCTCTCAGGCACCCCATTGTCACTCTCCTCCTCCTCTTTGCTGGTGAGGGCTACTTCGTTCTCATAGCAAAAAGAGTTTGCGTTGGAGAGAATGTATTTCTTTTCCGCTAAGTCTCTGGCACTACAAAGGGGCGTGTTGGGCACTTCATACGTTTTGTGGAACCTAGAATAGTCCACTTTGTAGTAGTTTTTCTCTTCAAAGAGTACAGGCTCGTAACGGTGTCCCCAAAGGATTTCATTCGCCAGGTAGGAGCTCCGGCACTGAGTAGTCATGGCTGTAGCTTCCACCATGCCCTCTAAAATGACTACAATTTCAAAGTCTGCATTGTCCATGTCCTGCTTACTCAGGTCATACAAGGGACTGTCTTCATCTATTTCATGGACTATCGTAATTGGGGAGACCAGGAAAATGCGGTCTATCCCACTGTCAAACCCCACATTGATGTCTATTTGATCTAAAGGGATGTACTCGCCTTCAGAAGTGATTCTGGATTTGAGTAGCTGGGCCCTGACATGCGCCTCCACCAAGTGGCTTTTCCTCAGATTCCCAACACGCCACATGAGGCATAGCTTCCCATCCCTCATGGCCACCACAGCATTGTGGCTGAAGATCAGAGTTTCGTTTCTCTTTTTGGGCTTAGCCATCTTTGCCATGACAGCACCAATGATGAAGGCATCAATGATGCAGCCTACGATAGACTGGAAAACCACCATGAAGACTGCAACGGGGCACTCATCTGTGACATACCGAAAGCCATAGCCGATGGTTGTCTGGGTCTCAATGGAGAAGAGGAAGGCTGCAGTGAAGCTGCGCACTTGATTGACGCAAGGCATTTCTGGACCCTCCAGATCCCCATGCAGCAGAGCGATCAGCCAAAATACACAGCCAAAAAAAAGCCACGATAGGATGAAAGTCAGGCAGAAGATCACCAGCATCCACCTCCAGCGGATGTCTACGCAGGTGGTAAAGATGTCTGCCAGGTAACGTTGTCCTTTCTCTCCCACGTTAATGAACTGGACGTTGCAGTGGCCATCTTTTTTGACAAAGCGGCTCCTGCACTGTTGCCTGGTATGTACCTTGCTCTTCCCATTCCCGAAGCCATTGGCAACCGCCATGGTTGCCAGCTTCATGCCGTCCTCTTCCGAAGACACGATGCTGTAGCGGTTGGTTCGCACGCTGCCCATCACTACTGCTGTGGACTGAGGTGCTTCTGCTTTAGAAAACAGTCCGAGTTTCTGCAAAAACCTTTGGAGAAACAGTTTTGAAAGTTCTAGAGGGACACACACACACCGAAAAAGTGGGGAGATTTTGGAGTCCCCAGGGATCCTTGGATCTACCAAGGAGAGTCGTCTGACATGTAGCGTTTAGCTTAGGAGCTGATCATCCGTCATGGAGAGAGCATGGCCTGCAAAAGAAAGAGACACTGCATGTTAGACCTCGAGGGAAGAGAACGGTCAATCAAAGCTGTGTAAATAAGGACCATCGTCTGCAAATCCACAGGAACAGCTTTGCAGTCTATTCGTTTCTATCCACGCACTTCCCTTGGGATACAGAAGTTCTCCATGTTTGTGGTTTCATATTGACACAACTGACATTATTAGTATAAACAAGCCGTCTCTCTTCCTGTGGTGAGCATGGAAGAGAACAAGTCTTGCAAGCCTATATGTTACATTCATTTATAAAGAAGGGGAATATGATTATTTCTCTAGTATTTACAAGTGCACCTTCTCTAAAGGGGGTTATTTTTAACATGTTCAAAGCCAAAGAATTGCTGAAGCTGTTACAAGTACGCATCTCAAGGTCTATTCTGACCAAGACACTTGGGTGTGGTCATTAAGGGAAGAAGTGCATTAAAAGAATAATGTCAGATATCCAAGTTGTAGTCATATTAGTCTAGAGGAAAAGGCAGTCAGGACTTGGAGTAGAAATGATACCTTTTTGTTAGACTAACAAGATTTTTGCAAAAAAATTAAAGACATTTTTTTGCAAACATCTTGTTGGTCTAATAAAAGGTATCACCTCTACTCCCGAGTCCTGATGGCCTTAAAAGAATAATACAACCGGACACAATGAATGCATCTTCCTTGGATCCACAAAATTACACCTGTTCCAAATTTGACCCTCTGCTCAATAGTAGGCTGTGCATTCATTGCCAATAATCAGTGCCAAACCCACTTTTCTTCCTATTTAGGCTGGAGCTCCAGACGTTCAATAGGATGTCTCGAGTTTTCAAATTCACAGCAGGCAGCGATCATACAAAGCAAAGTAGGACTGATAACAGACCCCATCCTGCTCTCACTAGCAAATAGCTTTAACAGAAGCAGGATTGGCGGTGATGGTGACAAGACGCTTTCCTCTGGAGAGATGAAGGCGATTCCATCTCTAGAGGATAACGGCCATGAATTTCCCCTGAGTCTTGAATGTGACTAAGGATTAGTATTGTGGCTACAAAATGTTCTCGCTGAGAGCAAAGGCTACCAAACTCGTTTCAGGGAGGTCTGGCTTTGATCCAGGCTGTACTTTTAGCAGTGCGTCATCCATTAAGTCATGTACTGCATATCAGAAAAGTTAACTGAAATATACTGCAGAAGAGACGAAATGCACTAAATGCAGTAACCCCTTCCATGCACATCCCCCGGGGTGGGGGGAAATAGTTACAGAGTTAAGGGTAACATCTACGGTCTGTTTGCCAAAGAACAGGAGATCCAAGTACCGAAGCATTGGTGGGAGGTTAAATTATTGATGCATTCACAAACTGGTATTATCCATATTAATCTGCCTCTATACCAAGGATTGTGCCAGTGAAAGAAGAAGACCTTTTGTACATGGAATAATTTGAGTACACCCTGGCTACCCATTCTGACCCAACTGCAGCAAGGTTAAAAAGTCATCCTGGAGATAAGATCTTTTCATAGCAGAGCTAAAACTCCAGACTGATTTGAAATAGTCTGTATTCAGCACATAATCTCTTAACTTCTTCATTCCCTATAGCCCTCCTTCTTCTTAGAAGAGCCCAGGTAGGCGGATACTTGGAAGAAAACCACAGGTGAAAAGCAGGAAGAATGCCATTCTTTACAAATGTGCATGAGACATTAATCTCCTAAGCACTACAGTTTGCTTTTATTTATTTTTTTGTGTGTTTCACATTATTATGCAAGAATGTGGCCCAACACATATTTCCAGAGATTAGTCATCTGTGATCCTGCAGTATGCAATACTTTTTGGCAGCTTTTGACAGGTTCAGTAGGGCCCTGCTTGAATATAACTTTCACATTAATTCACAGCATTATTGTATCGCCCTGTTGCCCTTATACCAGTTGGACTATTTTGTCTGCATTGTGTAGTTTGCTGCTACTTTTTTTTTCTCGGGGGTAAGAATTAAATTTCTCATCCCTGCCAGATTATAACTCTCAAAGTCAAAGGAATGCTTTTAACATTCACTTTGAGATGCTTTCTGTTGGCTTTAAACATGCATCTATAACCAAATACAAGAGGAAAGTCAAATTACTATTTATGTCTTCCACATAAAGAAAAGCTCATTGAAAAATCATTGCATTGGTTTGCAGATTAATCGGTTTCATAAACCACATCCTATAATCACAATCATGTTAAAAGTATGTTTAGATCCAAGTTGATGGGAAAAGACAGCCTAGGAAACAGTTTGTTTTGAAGTCATTTTTTTGCATTGCCTCCTGGATTTAAAGGGTGAGGAGGAGGAAAAGCTATGAAAGCTGAAGGATGCAAATATACAACTGTCCAAAAATAAATACATCTTGAACCCAGGACATCTGAATTGCAGAAATCAAAGAAACTATAAAGTCAGCCTCCTAGCAATAGCTTGTTCTGTTTGTAACCCTAGAAATAGCATTGGGTGCCTATTACTGTCATATTTCCATTGCTCTGCATACTGTACATCTGCACAGCATTATTAGCTATTATAGCTGCATGACTGGCAGTATTACGACTTTGGAAGCAAAAGCTGCACCTATTTGGCTAAAAGGATGCTGAAGCAGTACGGCGAAGCCTTGGGGGCATCTTTCCTAAGTTTACAGACTGCTTCTTGAAGTTTATACAATAAAACCCTGGCGTGCTCCACATGTTACAGTATTGGGCACAGGGTGGTTGTTGTCTTTTTTTTTTCTTCTCGCAGCACAAATTGCTTCTCTGCCTACTGTGTGCTTTGAGTAGCTAGGATACCAGGGGGAAAAAAATCCTCCCAATAACTCACCAGTCAGACACAGCCCACAAAACCCACGAGGGCCTAATGCTGCTTGCACACAAGTCAGCAGCAAGAACACTCCCCTGAACTTCAATGAGTGCAAGGCTCAGGACCTGTACCATCTGTATGAAAATAGATGAGTCTGCTAAAGCAGGGACCCAATCTGTGTTCACCCCCAGCTCTTCCAGCTGGTTTCAGTGGGAGTTTGGGGTGTGCAAGGGGTGGGAACAAGACTCTGTCTATACAAAAAGCAAGTCTGAAACTAAAGATGCAAGATCCTAGCATACAAATGTAATGCTTGTGACTGTTCACCTGCTACCCAATATACAAGTCCCTTTTTTTCCCCCCCTACTATCCTCAGATATCAATATCAATGGGGAGGTACAAATTAGAAGTCATATCTGCAGTCCTTACTGTGCAGAAGATAAGGATTGCATTGTTTGTAGGACTGGACCTGCTACATTACATTTTGACACATTTAGGGGCATGCACACTAAAGCTTTCCCCCCCCCCCCCCCCACCCTTTTGAAACTTCCCCCCCCCCCCCCCAAACTTTCTAGGAAGAAAAAAAAAAAAAAGCATGCAAAAGCTCGAGAAATGCTGCAGCCAGTTGGCTCATGCACAGACTCACAACAGTTGCCTGGAAAGGAAGGGGTTGGAATTTCAACTGGTTTTATTGCAAGGAAGAGGAAGAAAAAAAAATGGATTTTGCTGTTAAAAGAAACATTTCTGCACCCAACCTGCACAACCCCAACAACAAACAGCAGAACTCAAATCCATACCTTCCTCCAGTCAAATACCCCCTCTCAGAGCTCTTTTGAAAAGCCCAGAAGGAAATATATCTATACTTTTCACATCAGATGGTTGTAATTTGTATAGATCACCTGGGAGAGAAGTGTGCAGGAGGGTTTCAGACCGACCAGAGATAAAGATGTTACAAGGGTTGAGAGCAAAGAGGAGTGCTAATGAGTGCTCAGAGCAGTTATTCCCAAGCTGACGCCACACTGCTCTGCCCTGTGTGTACTGGGCACATGTTGCTAAGTGAGCACAACCACTACCTTAGTTAAGTACCTTCCTCTGTCCTCAGTAAACAGAACGGAAGGGGTTGAAAGCCATGGAGTAGTACCAAAAGTCAGCCCCCTTTGGCTCCCTCGGTCAGAAGGATATAAATAAAGTAACTGCATCCTCCAATCCCCAGACTGACTTAAAAAACTTATTAGCCCAGCCTCCACTCATTTCTCTGCTCAGTTCAGCTGGGGGCTTTGAAACACACTGAACAGCTCATGCTTGAATCCTGACAGTTTTTTTTTTTTTTTTTTGTCTTAATAAAATTATCAAGATGTTAAAGGGTGGGGAAAAATCAGATAAAGGGGAAAATAAATGTCCCTGGAGAAACAGGGACAGGAGAAGTGGCATTTACATCTGACAGTCTGCTCCTTGGCAGACTTCAGGCTTATTTCTAGAGGATGACCAAGTCACTACAAAATGAAATAGTCAGCACCAGGGGGTGTAGTTGATGCACTAGCCAGCAGGGATGGAAAAGCAAACAAGTGCAAAGGTAAGGCACAGAAGCCAGAAGAACGCAGAGCTGGAAAGAGACAGGGGGGCATAAAAAAAACCCAACAACAACCCAGATACACATCTTCAACGCAGACAGAAGAGACTCCCAGCATGTTCTGCAACTGCCTGTAGATAAGGTCTGCAACACCGGCCGGGGGGGGGGGGGAAAAAGCAACGCTGGGACCACAGAGCCATAAAGAAGCTGCCGTTTCCTATCTGTTCTGTATAGAGCCATCTATCTATATCGATCTGCATAGATATCTGTATAGCTCTATATCTATATCAATAGAGGTCTAGATAGATATCTGGATAGCTCTGTATCTGCACAGAGATCTGGATAGCTCTACCTCTATATCAGTAGAGGTCTGGATAGATAGCTGGATAGCTCTACCTCTATATCAGTAGAGGTCTGCATAGATATCAATAGATAGCTGGATAGCTCTTCTTCTATATCAATACAGATCTGTATAGATATCAATAGAGGTCTGGATAGGTATCTGGACAGCAGAGAGATCTGGATAGCTCTGTATCTGTATGTGTATAGAGATCTGGAGAGCTCTGTATCGATATCGGCATAGCTCTGCATAGATATCTGCATAGCTCTCTATCTATCTAAAAGTATCTCTCTACTTCTTTGCTTTGCTTTTCTCCCAACACTCATGAACCAAGCTGAAATGATGCAATTCCTCCACAGGCACTAAAACCACTGCAACTCCTCTTTCCTCCCCCTCTGCCTTCCTATCCCACCCCCACCCCCCACCCCCCGCTGATGGCTTGGAGGGCCGGAGGAAGGAGCTGCACCCCCACGGGGCTCAGTCCGCTCCACCCTCGCCCCCCGGACAGTCCCC